TGGGTAGGGGGTTTGGGGGGGGTTAAGCAGTGAGACGAGGGAACAAATAAAAGGTTGGGAGATTTTTGGTTATCAAACCTGTAAGTCTACGGAAAAAAAAAAGCTGCAGGGAAGAGTTATTGCTGAGAAACGTGAGAATCCAGCAGGGAGGTGAGAGCTGTTAGGGGGTTTCTCCAGTTACACCCCAAAACCAGCCCGAGAGGACCCACAGAAACCCCGTCCCAGCAGCAGCACAAGCAGCAGGTGAGGCCTCACCTGGCCCTAAATCCCCCGGCCCTGGGGGATCTGGTGAGTGTGACCCGCTTTGCACGGGCTCTCGCCCGGAGATTAGCAGTTCGGATTAGTGCAAGCCGTGCAGCAGCCTTAATTAGCCATTTATCTTTGGGTAAGTATCTTAGATTTCAGCTTTATCAAGAAACCTGCTCGAGGAAACTTTTCCCACTCAAAAGAGACGGTGCATCTCAGTCCTCGCTATTTAACCTCTTCTGTGCAACGTATTGCAAGCTTAAAGGTGAAAGCACCAATTAATTTCTTCTGCATGAGATGTTTTGTGGCCTTAATAAATCTTCTAATTAACATATCTTCCTGATGTTATGGAGCACGCACTGGGAAGACTAAAAAAGCTACAGAAAGAACAGAAGAGAATGAGTGTTTAAGTTACTTCATGTAAATAACTGAAAAGACATCCTGAAAGGTCAAGGTACAAATCTCTCCTGTTGCGGGGCCGGGCACGGACGTTCCGAGTTAAACCATCACAGCTCGGAGAAGCTCCCATGGCTGCAAAGGTCTGGTTTGGAAATGGTAATTAGAGGATTGATTTAAAATTTTAACGAGGCAAGACGTGAGAAGTCAGGTGCTACGGATACACAGGATGGGGAGAGGAGCAGGAACTTCTCCAGCCCGGCCAGGACATGGCAGAGGGAAGAGCAACACTCAATACTGAGGAAAACACAGCCAGCCCCAGCTGAACTGCTTCTAGAACACTCTACATTCCTCATTCTCTGGCAAATATCAAGGAATGATTTTTAACACCACTCCTGCGGAAAAATCCTTGCCTGTGTACGTCCTCCTCAGTCACCAGGTGGCCCATCTTTAAAACGACCGGCTGCTCTGCCCCCTTAGTTTCCCAATTAATTCTCATGTACCTGAACACACTTTCTCTTCTCTGCCCTCCTGGATCTGGCTTTAGAAAGGATGGGGATGGGAAAGGTTGTAGAATATTTCATACAACACTTGGTATCAGCTGGGAAGTCCCCACCCTCCATCTCTGCTCCTTTTCCATCCCACCCTTCAATCACCTCTTTGGGCATCAGTGAAACTGCTGATAAATCCACCCACTCGGTCACCACGTCCCACAAAGGAGAAGTACAAATGAGCTAACAGGCTACTTCTGCCCAAACAGGGGTGACATTTGAATGAATACCTTAGGATTTCCCCCCAGATTACAGACGAGGTGCATTCTGGCACACTGTACGACTAGCTAATTGTTAATTAATTAGCTAATTTTATTTTTGAATGTTCCCGATAGACATCCTGCAAGCGGTAAACTTTCAATCATCACACATTAATAGATGCACCAGACGACACAGGAAACCCACTGCCAAATAAAGGACACCACAAAAACTCAAAATACATGTGAGATTTAATCAAAGAAATAAAAGTACAAAGTGAGTGGAAAGAATTGAAAGTCAAAAAAAAAAAAAAACCAAACAACAAACCAAACCAAACCCAAGACATTTGGAATGACAAAGCCACCGGCTGCAGCAGGTCCCCAGGTCACCTCCACCCCGGGGCACCCACCGCAGCCAGAGGTGAAGCCGAGGGAGCTCAGAGCCCCCAAAACACATTTTAAATTAGAAAACAGACAACGTACATGATGGTAAATGTTTAAATGATTAAAAAAACAAAAAAAAAATACTGAAAGTCAAAAAAAAAAAACCCAAACAACAAACCAAACCAAACCCAAGACATTTGGAATGACAAAGCCACCGGCTGCAGCAGGTCCCCAGGTCACCTCCACCCCGGGGCACCCACCGCAGCCAGAGGTGAAGCCGAGGGAGCTCAGAGCCCCCAAAACACATTTTAAATTAGAAAACAGACAACGTACATGATGGTAAATGTTTAAATGATTAAAAAAACAAAA